GGTGTAGGGAAAGGAAGGCGATGTGCAGAGCCACTAATTTCCTCATTTTACAACGTGGGAGCCTAACGTTGATGAAGCAAGTTGATGGTTCAAAGCTATAATGATAACCAATAAGAGAATTAAACACACAGGCATCAAACGCAGGAGGGGCAAAGCAGGCAGGGCAAGCAAGCTACTTCCTTCTCTTTCCAAGTGGAGAATTGAGAGACACATCCACACGTGATCAATCGAGAAAGTGATAAAACGTGTTATGTCAACGAACCGAGGCCACCGTCAGGAAAACAGAACACGGGGACAGCTGAGTGCCTTTGGGAGGTGGGGTGTGAGGGCTCCGTTTTTCACGGTACACTCTGCTCTGTTATTTGCTTTTCAAACCATATTCACGCGTCCACTGGATAACAGAAAGCAAAAAACACTAAGCAACATGAAAAAGGAGGTTGGAGAATATTTAATGCCAACATAAGAGTGAAAAAATGAAATTATAAAACACATACGGTATTGCTGAATTTTTCTATGGGGGGGCAGTCATGAGTGATTGTTTCTTTCATCTTGCCTGTCTGTATTTTCTACGCTTTCTGGAAATTAGTTTTGCTTTTGTAACAAGAAGACGGACGAAGGCCGTTGCTTCAGGCCAGGTAGGGCCTGCGTGTGTGGCCCGTTCCCTGGGTCAGGTCCTTTCTGTAATCTTGAAAGCCTGGTCCTCTCTGTGTGGCTGACTCAGGACCTCATCCTCAGAAAGCTGCCTCTCAAAAAGAAAAAAAGCAAACAAAAGCCGGGATCCCTCTTACTGAGTAGCTGGTCTCGGGAGCTCATGACAGAGCCCTTTTTTGCAATCCTTTCTGGAATCTCTTAGATTCTCTGCCACAGCAAGCTGACTCATAACCATCCATGGAGCAATTCACTTTGCTCTCAAGTCCTTTACCAAGAGTGTTAAAACCAGGAGATTCAAAAGGAATTAAAATATTTAAGGTGTTGTGCTATTCTTAATTTGCGTAGTTCAGTAAACAACAGGCACAAACCACAACCCCCAACCATGTATCTTCTTCCTTTAATACACTCATCTGATTCCTTAAATTCTTCACGCTAATTAAATAAAGGGTGAGTGTGAAAAGTGAAATGCCTTTTGCAGGGATATACCAGGCCGGTTTTGAGAAATATGGTTTTTAAAGTCCAACATGAACCCTCTAGATATTCCAAACTCCTTTTGAAGCAGCAGAGCCTGTTTTGCAAACAAAAATTTACCCTGAGTCCCAATCTACAAAACCCATCAAAGCAGCTGCTTTTTTAAAAAAATTAATTTTTAAAAATTGAAGTATAGTTGACTTACAATGTTAATTTCTGCTATACAGTTATAAACACACACACACACACATACATATATATATATATATATATATATACTCTTTTTCATATTCTTTTCCATTATGGTTTACCCCAGGATATTGAATATAGTTCCCCTTGCTATACAGTAGGACCTTGTTGTCCATCCATTCTATATATAATAGTTTGCATCTGCTAATCCCAACCTCCCAATCCATCCCTCCCCCACACCCCTCCCCCTTGGCAACCACAAGTCTGTAAAGAAGCTGCTTTGACTGAAGGAGTGGGAGGCTAAAAGCTGCTCATCACCCCCCACACACCACACCACACCCACATACAACCACACAGATCCCACGGACATACACCACACGCACGGTAAACCATAGCACAATCACACATCACACATCCACACACACATTTAACAACCTACACACGTGCTACACACAGATACACACACACAATACACCAAACCACACACACACACACCACATCCCAAAGACTATACACAAAGGTCACACTCACAGAGTCCCCTAGGCCTCCGGGGTTTCATGGAACATAATTTGAAAAATTAATGCTTTCAATGCAATCATTGTATTTCATTTTAATGAGCTATTTTCTTTCTTCTTTTTCTTTAAAAGGGTAAAAACCCATGTTCACCAGCAATGATAAAATATTTAGTGCTCTTTCTTCAAGAGCACTGGTTTGAATTTGAAGTTAGTGCTAGGAGCTCTTACTTCTTGCTGGTTCTTTGAAATGAAACAGCAACATTTCCTAATAATCCTAAAGATTAGACATCGGGTCATCAGAAAGCCCAGATAACTTCCTGAGATCCATGACACAAGGGAGAACATATTAATGCATCCTCTGTACAAAGTCATGACAAATGGTATGAATTGAAAAACACTTAGTTTCACCGGCCAGCGGGGCCCAAAGACAAAGATCTGGCTCCGAGCTATGTCCACGCGGTTCCAAGCCAGCGCCAAGCTCAGCTGGTCCCGAGCCGATGCGTTTGTGCCTGGAAGGCAAGAGATGGGGCACTACTCACTCCATGCCTGGGTCACCTGGGGGTGACAGGGGCTGGGTGGGGAACACAGGCTTCCCCAGGCTGGCTCAGCATCAGCCTAGAAATAAGCATGGCTGCCTTTTCTCTGGCCCCTGAGGGATCACTCAGGCCCCAAAGCCGAGGACCAGCTCAGCACTACCAAGCAGCCAGCCTGATGGTGACCCCCGCCCCTTTCCTCCAGCCCCCTCCCCTTCCCAGTGGAGCAGAGAGGTGACCCCATGAGCAGCCTGGTGGCAGCTGTCGTTAGGAGCGGGCCGGGGAAACTGGACAGAGCACTGCAAGATGCAGGGATCGCAAATGAAAAATAATTTCACGCTTACCCTCTGTGAGTTCAAACCTGTAATGAGCTAGATACAGACGGAAACTGGTCCTTGACTTCAGTCCATCATGGTCCATTGGCCCGCCAAGAAACGTCCCCCTCCCAAGAAACCCATTTCGAGCCCGATTGTTTTACCATGGCTTTATCCTGAGATAATTTCTAGGCAGCCTGGCAGGCTCGGGGTTCCATCCCCAGCAGACACAGTTCCCAGCGGGAGGAGGGGGGAGGGGTTTCCCAGCCACAAGCAGAGCTCCGGGGAGGCCAGCAAGAAAGGACAGGAGTGGCTGTTTCCTGAGAGCTCACCTTTCAGCAGGGCAGTTAAAATTGCCATTTCGATGTCTTGCTGACCCTCGGAACCCATTCTAAACACAGTGACCTGAAAACAGATTAATCGTGAAAAGACTGAGTAAAGCAAAGTGGAAAACAAGAGGGAGAATTGGGGAGTTGCTTAAAAAGGACCACAGACAAGATCTGGCGTGACAGATGAATGGATAAGGAAGATATGGCACATGTATACAATGGAATATTACTCAGCCATAAAAAGAAATGAAATTGAGTTATTTGTAGTGAGGTGGATGGACTGAGAGTCTGTCATACAGAGTGAAGCAAGTCAGAAAGAGAAAAACAAATACCATGTGCTAACACATTATGGAATCTAAAAAATAATGGTTCTGATGAACCTAGGGGCAGGACAGGAATAAAGACACAGACGTAGAGAATGGACTTGAGGACATGGTGAGGGGCAAGGATAAGCTGGGACGAAGTGAGACAGGAGCACTGACATATATACACTACCAAATGTAAAATAGACAGCTAGTGGGCAGCAGCTGCATAGCACAGGGAGATCAGCTTTGTGCTTTGTGACCACTGAGAGGGGTGGGATAGGGAAGGTGGGAGGGAGATGCAAGGGGGAGGGGATATGGGGATATATGTATACATATAGCTGATTCACTTTGTTATACAGCAGACACTAACACAACACTGTAAAGCAATTATACTCCAATAAAGATGTTCAAATAAATGAATAAATAAATAAAAAGGACCACAGAGTCTGACGCTAATGCAGCAATCCCAAGAGCGACATGATTTTACACCAGGTGCCTCTGATTCAGAAAGAACAGCATTGCTTGTCCTGATTTTGAATCCTTGCCTGGATCTTATTTTATTCTTTACCCCATCTGGAGCTGAGGGAGCTCATGCAGGATGTACACGTCAATATCTAAATGGCTACTGAAGATGACAAAGTCATCTCTACTCAGATTTGATATATCTGTAGGAAACCTGTAGATTTAGAATTTCGAAGAGGCTGTCTTCTGTGCAACAAGAGTGCCTCTTCCTTATAAGCGTAATTAAGGAGGCAAAGAGTGGAAGAAAATGAGGGCTTTGGTAGAATTTTGTAAGTACACCTGAAAGCATCGTATATGTCACTCCTCGATGCTTTGAATCTGATTGATATCATGAGCCTCAGAACTGGGGGATGTGGCCTGAAGTGCCCTGACATTTACAAGATCTGAAGCACCCGTGTCCCTCTTCCGAAGAGAATCTGCCTATGCTTAGCCTGCTTCCCGCACATGGACAGAACCACCAGTTGGGTCAGGATCTGTAAAATGCCTCTTGGAAAAGGGTGAATGGAAATAGGAACTATTCCATCCTGTACACATGGGCAGAATTAGAAAGGAAACATAATTCTCTCTGTGGAGCACTTGGGAAGTTAACTCGAGACACTTACAAGTTCTTTCTTTTTCATGCACTCCATGATCATCGCAAAGAGCTGATGCGATTGTGTCTTGCTGTAATTAAATGTTTTCTGAATGGTAACTAGAAGCTGGTCTCTGAGGGAGTCATTGATTATCCTGTTCGAAGGAAATGGGAAAGAGAAGAAAACAACACATGTGAAATCTGTACGTGAATAGATCAGACATCTCTATGCCCGCCTGGTACCTTTGATTTGAAACTTTATCATTGGAGGATATCCCAGGATAGCAGACCCAAAAGGACTATAGTCAAAAACTGTGTTCACACTTGTCCTAAATTCCAGGCTTGTTGAAAAACTTACAAGGGAAAATGCAGCTGGGAGAGAGCATCTTCCCTCCTGAGAAAGAATCCGTAAGAAACACCACGCTCCTCAGAGCTCCCTCACTTGCTGACCTTGGGAAGTGGGAGAGGAGGGCTAGTAAGTCTGCCTTCTTTTACATTTTTGGAGTAGCTAAATGGATCACGATTTCCTCTGGGCCTAACAAGAAGGCATTCAAAGCCCCACCCTTTGTAACATATCAGAAATCTTACCCTCCTTCTTCAGAGTACTTGTGTGCAAAAGACAGGATGTCCGAGGCCCGGCCACTGCCGTCGCAGACCACCACGGGGACCGGAGGCTCTTCTCGGAGATACTCCAGGACCATGGAAACCACGTTTGGGCCCCCTTCCACCACGAGGCCCACGACGGGCACACCCTGCCCCAGTCCTGCAACACACACCACATCCACCTTCAGACCTCGGTCATGGCCCCATCCGAGTGTTACCGACCAGGGTTCTTGGCCTTCCCCAATCAACAGAAATTGACCAGAAGCCAGACAAGAAATTCAGGCAAGGCTTTATTGGGGCGCCTGCTGCAGCAGCGGGAAGCGGGAACAAACAACAGGCTCGCTTGCTCCCCGAGGGGGGCAAGCTTGTTCCTTATATGGGGTGAGGGTAGGGGTGTGTCCATGGGTCAGGCCGGAGGGGTGGCTTAGGTGTTTTGCCCACCCCTTAGGTGGTGTTGTGTGCAGGGGGCATGCGCAGTACCCTGCTTTTGCTCTGGACACCGTTTTTGCTCCAGGCTCTTCAAAAGTGGCCGTTGGCTTTTTTGGTCTCTTTGTATCTTTTAGGTTCAGAATTTGCCCCAACTGCCCACATGAAAGAAGTTATTTTTAGTCCCATACAGTTTCTTAGTATTTTGTTGCTCCTGGAGAGGTGTGTCCATGTGCAAGCATTGCAGCACTGCAGCAAAGGGTCCCAGGTCCCAGCAAAGAGTCCCAGGTCCCAGCCTGTCTCAAGAGCACTCACTCTAATTCCTGAAACATGGTGAAGAGGAAAACCTTTAGGCGTGGAAGTATGCTTATATGGAGTTAGTGTTCACCAGGAGATTTGAAGGAACTCAGGATGTGATGACTGTTTACATTCTTTTATTCAAACCCCGTATTACAGCCTTACTGGAAAAAGCAGAGCCTTTAAATTACAAACTTTCCAAAACATGTGGTTGAACTCCATGTATCACTCAACTGGCTTACAGATTACTTCAAGGTGAGATGTGAGAAACACGGGAGACTCTTCCTGCTAAAAGAATACCTCCCTGCTGCCTTGCCCCAGGTGAAGTTCCCACCCTGGATGGCTGTCCCTTCAAGAATGACACAGCGAAAGGTGTCTGGACCAGCGATAGGAGAACTCCGTTCAATGCCTGGCCTCACACGTATTAGCCTTACGACATGGGGCCAATCACCAGGCCACACTGAAGTGCAGGGAACCATCCGTAAAAGGTGAATCATCACAGGGCCTCCTCTACCTCCTAAAAGAGCAATAGATATAAAGTATAAGAAACTGTTCGGCTATCAAGGTCCTTGTCAACCTCAAGTGGTGTGTCAATATGCAGTGTTGTAGTAGGCATTGATTCGGCCTCCAGGGGCTGGAATAGGCAGTGAGTTATCCAGGAGGGCAAGTCTGTAGACCACAATTAGCCCACCAGTTAATACCTTGTACCCAGAGTCCTCCCTCTGTCTCTATGAGATGATAGGACTCTTTGGGAACACGGTAGGACAAACTGACTTTTGGTGGCAGAACCCGAAGGCAGGGCTCTGGGAAGCAGGAGGTGGCAAGAGCATCCCAAGAACCCAGGATTCCAGGGCAGGGGGAGGTCGTGGGAGTGAAGGAGCTGCAGAGACTGTTGCAGCAAACAGAGAAATAAGACTTTTCTGATAGAAAAGGAAAACAAGGAAACAATGAACAGGCTGGGGAAACAGCATAAATAGGCCTGAAAGAGTTAAGTGATCTTGGTTATTTTTTTAGCTGTTACTACTAACTAACACTTGTAGCTAGATTTATCCTTCATAAAACTAATTACTCTCTGACTCCATGTGAATTGCACTCTGCACTTGGCATTTCTTCTCCCCCTGCGCTCCCTTGAAGCACTCTTCATTTCAGAAAGAAGATCATGGGCCAATAACTTCAGGGACACCAGACCTGGTTGCTGAGCTGCCTGACAACCGCTTTGGCTGTAAATTTGCAGAAGAAAAGAAATGCAAGACCTTCATTACCTTGAGCCTTATCACCTACCCCCGACCACAAGCCCTGGGCTATAAAACCTCTCCCTATTCCCCAGGAAGGGGGCCCAGTTCTTGAGGCACTAGCCTGCTGTGTTTCCTCTTTGCCTGGCCAAGAATAAAGCTACTCTTTCAATTCTCCTCCAAAACTCTCTTTCCACATCTCATTTCGGCATTGGTGTACAGAGAGCCAATATTTTGGCATCAAGACAAATTTGCCTATTTCACAATTTTACCCCAAACTGGCTAAAACAGATTATATTCTAAGCATGTTTCACCAGGTGTCCATTAGTTGTGATGGGAGTTATTTGATCAACATTAATAGATGGTGAATAGGAGATGTGTCCTTGGTCTCACAGTTCTGAAGGCCTTTGGATAAAATCTGCCAGCACAGTTAGGAGAAGGTCTAAGAACTTCAAGTGGGGAAATTCAGAGTTTCTGGTTTGCTTCCACGATGCATTTCTACAGTCAGGAGCTCTTAAATATTTTGAACAACTTTGCCATCTCCTACCAGAATAATCTCAGTTAGGTTCATTTCAGCAGCTATGCGTTGACGGTCTGCTTTGTGCCAGGCAGGCGCCTGGCCAAGAGATGCTGGAGAAATAGACCAAGATGACACGGACCCTGCCCTTGAGATTTCCAACCCCAGCAAGACTTGACATTTGAGATCTTCGGGACTCCAGTGGCCAAATCACCTTCTTTTCTAGAAACAGAGAATTGGTTCTTCGTGGTTTAGGCTGGACCCCTGAAACTCCGTGCCGTGGGAGGTGACAACTGAGCACCCCTTTGCTGTCCCTGCCCCACTCAGAACCCTAGGCAAAGGATGACAAAGGGAAGCCCACAGGTCACACGGCCAGGGGAGGCTGGTCAGTGTGAACGCACACACGGCCAAGACAGCGAAAATGTGCGAACCATCAGCCAGGGAGCTGATACCCAGAAACCCACCACTTCTCATGGCAGACTGTCATTCTAACCATGAGGCAGTCTCACAGACCCTTTAATTATGCTTTGAAATGACCATTTCCCAGGCCTAGACTGTCTTTCGCAATCTTACCAGTAATGGTTACAACAAAATACTCTTTAAGATCATTCAGCAATTGCTTGACAGTAAGAATCACTGAGTTATGAACATGCCCCAAGAGGTGACACCAGTTATTTTAATTCTAATCAGTTGTTATGATCATTTCATCTGACTGAGGTCCATTCCTTTCTCTCTAGCTTGACCTCAGCATCCTCCTGACAGCGGCAGCTCCCCTGTAGGGTGTGCCCCCTGGACCAGCATGGAGGGTGGCGCCCTGTTGGGAGCAGCCAGCTCTTGCAGGCCTCACCAGAGGCCTCCCCACCTGGCCCATCTCTGGTGAGAGACCCAGAGCTACTGAGATATTTAATTTAATGAACTCAGAGCATGTAGTTGATCGAAGGAATCATACTAAGCCTTTGAGTGACAAATGTGTTTCCTGTTCAGACATTTAAAAAGTTTGGGATTAGCAGAGGCAAACCATTATCAATAGGATGGATAAACAACAAGGTCCTACAGTATAGCACAGGGAACTATATTCGATATCCTGGAATAAAACATAATGGAAAGAATGTGAAAAAGAATATATGTATGTATAACTCAGTCACTTTGCTGTACAGAAGAAATTAACACAGCATTCATTATAAATCAGCTATACTCCAATAAAATTTTAAAAACTAACTATAATCATAAGGAACGAAAACCACTGGCAACATGGCGGGAGATGCCGCCACCGTGAAAACGGCTGTGGGGCTGTTTCTTGGGTCCACTCTCCTCGTGAACTTGAGACAAAGCATCATAGCGCAGCTCAGTGATTTGGTAGGTGACTAAGGGAAAGGGTCTTGCTAAGTCATCTCCTGATGGTCACAGAAGAGTCAAGGTGAAGGCTCTAAATACCCTCGGGTGCTCTCTCTTCCAGCCTGGTTTTCAGGGCAGCAGCGGCAGCCCAGTGGCCGTGGCCAGAACTTACTTGTGTTGATCTTCTGCAGAGAGATGTGCTTCTCCAGCTGCCTTCTCAGCATCACCTCGGCACCGTACTTGCCCAGGGTGCCATTGTCAGCCAGGATGAAGTGCGTGTGCGAGTTGTTGAGCACAGAGAGCTTACTCAGGGGGTTGGACATAGTCTGGTACACCCGTGTCACCTGACGAAATGCACAGCACAAGTCAGAGCTGCAAAACTTGGACAGTAAGACAGGGAAAGCAAGAATATATGGATGTGGAGCGACAGCTTCACCTAATTGTGCACTTCAACCTACTCTCGCTTCCCTAGACTCTCTATTGAAGGATTTTTTTTTGGTAAATTTTTATATCAAATTAGAAAAAATTATTTTAGATCATGACAACCCAACAGATCATGATGACCCAGCAAGTACACTCCCGGGCACTTATTGCAGAGAGAGGAAAACTTACATTAATACAAAATCCTGTACACAAGTTTATGGCAGCTTCATTTGCAGTAGCCAAACTGGAAACAACCCAGATAGGCTTCAACAGATAAATGGTACATCCATACGGTGGGACCCCACTCAACAATAAAAAGGAGTAAACTATTGATACATGCAACCATTTGGATGGATCTCCAGAGAATTAAGTGGCAAGTAAAAAGCTAGCCCTCAAAGGTTACATACTGTACGATCCCATTTACATAACATTCTTGAAATGATACAACTGTAGGATGAAGGGCAGATGAGTGGTTCCCGGGGTTAAGGCAGGAGTGGAAGCAGGAGGGAATTGGGTATGGATATTGAAGGGCAACATGAAACAACAAGGTCTTACGGCATAGCACAGGGAAGTATATTCAATGTCCTATGATAAACCATAATGGAAAAGAATATGAAAAAAACCAATGTGTTTGTGTGTGTGTATATATATATATATATACATACACACACACGTATACAATGTATGTGTGTATATATATGCGTATATATACATATATATACGCGTATATATATGCAACAGCAGAAATTAACACAACATTGTAAATCAACTATAATTCAATAAAAAAATGAATGAATGAAAAGGGCAACATGAGGGCTCCTAGTAGATGTTCTGCATCTTGACTAGACTGATATCAATTATCCTGGTTTTGATCTTGTATCATAGTTTTGCAAGTTTTTACTTTTGGGGAAAAGATAAAGGCTATATGGGACCTTGCTTTATTATCTCCTACACCTACAGGTGAAAGCTAAAATGACATTAAAACAAAGACTTTGATTTTTGAAAATTGCCCATTTCCGGGGAGAAAATACTTACATCCCTTCCAACCAGATCTTCTTTATTCTCCACGATGCCCCAGGGAGCAATTCCTATAGCACAAACCCGGCCTCTGGACTTGGAGGAGTGGTCTTTCAAGGCATCCCCCACGTGGCTGATGACACCTGTGAGAGGCCATAAGTCATATCTGTAGGCCCCTTACCTCCCATCAAACCACTATTCATGAACTTCAGGGACCCCAGCTCTGAACCACTCCATTTCCTACAGAACAGGGTTAAGACACTGAAAGTCTGAGCTCATAATAGCTAGTCATCCTGCATTAGCTCTTAGGAAAGGGAAAACAAAAACCAAAACCAAAGCAACTGTGCAGGAATTGTCTTTACAAATTTCCAAGACCTAAGGATGGAAGTATGAGGGGTCTCTTTGGCAGGCCTTGGCTGCATTCAGCTAAAGTTGAGAGTCAGATGGCCTGCCATGTTCCTCAACCTCTCTGGGCCTTGGTGTCCTCCCTCATGTGATCGGGAAAGGATTGCCAGGGGCCTCAGTGAAAATGAGGCTTGTACAGGGCTCACTTCAAGGAATGACACATAGTAGGTGCCAGAAGTGTTGACCATTATCATGATCATACTGAAATAAAAAACGACCTACCAAATAAAGATTTCATTCTGCCATAAATATTATCAGAATGCAGTATCTTCTGTTTTTTTTTTATCATAATTATCCAAAAGCTCTTTGGGAACCACGATGAGCTCTGGGTTTGTACATCTGCAGCAAGGAATAGTCTGCACTTACCTGTGCTGATGCCTCCAGTGAAGATCCAGGCCCCAGTGGTCACAGCAGCCTTGATCAGACCTTTCCCAAAGACCTGCTTCAGCTTGGGCTGCATCTCAAAGTTCTGGAGGCCTCCGTGCACAGATATTAAGAGCTTGGGGAGTTCCAGCTGCCAGTCTCTCACCATGAGATGAAGCAGTGAGTCTGGCTTCGTGTCATAGGAGACCCGGATATACTGCAAAAGAGGGTGTGACCCTCAACACTCGTTCTTCGATTTGACTCTTGTGTCACGGGGAACAAGGCTACTGTTCCTGCCCAAGCAACAGCCGCCTGGCTTTCTCTCCCATGGGGTTCTGGGGCCCTCTGTGTGAGTCTGTGGCCAAACGATGGAAGGGAACTCTGGAGGGTTCCCAGATATAGCAAATAAAAACAGAGAATGCACAGGTAAACTTGAATTTTATATGAACAATGAAAAATGTTTTAGTATAATTATGGCTCCTGCAATATTTGGGACGCATTTATACTAAAAAATCATCCGTTGTTTATCTGATTTTCAAATATATCTGGGGGTCTTGTATTTTACCTAGCAACCTTAATCTTTTTTTTTTTTCATTGCCTTAGGATGATTTATTTTATCAAAGTTCCCAGCTAATATCAGAACTTCTATAATGACAATAGTTAATACTGAGAGTAAAAGGAATCCTGAAAATTTCCAATAATGAAATATAGTAATATTAGCAAAGATTTATTTTAGTTATTTAATGAGTTCATCAAAAGTTATGTGCAGTCACACACATGCATATATGCGCAAACGTCTCCAAATTAACAAATTTGTAGGAAATTTGTAGAAACAAATTTGTAGAAAATAAAACTGGAGTTTAAAGGAAACACATTTTAAAATTTGAAAGCAAAGACCATTTATAGTTCTAAACAAAATTTGAAATACTTCTTCAATGTTTCTAGCATTCTTAGGAACACAGAAATTACTCCTGTTCGATTTTATCTCCGGATACTTTTTGCTCTTTTGAAACTTCTAGGAAATATACACGCCAGGTTTACACAAAATTTAGAGCAACTTATGAATTTGTGTACTTTTAGGTAAAACTTCTTAACAATTAGTCATTGTTGGGCTATGTAAATCACAGGTAAATCACAGTTCAGAAGTACCTGAAATTATATACACTTTAGATGCAATCAAAAGTCAAACATGTTCCAAAATAGAATAAATATTGTTCACCTTATCCAATGGCAACCCTAATCTTGAAGGCAACAATTCCAAAGCTGGAAAGATACATGCATCCCAAAGTTCATTGCAGCACTATTTACAGTAGCCAAGACATGGAAACAACCTGTCTGCTGTGAACAGATGAATGGATAAAGAAGATGTGGTACACACACACACACACACACACGCATACATACATGGAATATTACTCAGCCATAAAAAAGAATGAAAAAATGCCATTTGCAGCAACATGGATGGACCTAGAGATTGTCATACTGCGTGAAATAAGTCAGACATAGAAAGACAAATATCATATGACATCACTTATATGTGGAACCTAAAAAAAAAATGGTACAAATGAACTTATTTACAGAAATAGAGTCACAGGTGTAGAAAACAAACTTATGGCTACCGGGGGGAAAGGCGGGGGAGGGATAAATTGGAAGATTGGGATTTACATACACACACTACTATATAAAAAATAGGTAACTATTGATAATAAGGACCTACTGTATAGCACAGGGAACTCTACTCAACACTCTGTAATGACTATATGGGAAAAGAATCTAAAAAAGAGTGGATATATGTTTATGTATAACTGATTCACTTTTCTGTACAGCAGAAACTAACACAAGAGTGTAAATCAACTATACTCCAATAAAACTTTTTTTTTTAAATTCCATAGCTGGCTCAGCTAGAATGTGGATCCAGAGGTTGGCCAGGACGATGAGGAGGGAGTGGGTGCTGGGAATGGGGATCAACAGCCAACCTCGGGGCTGGACCTTCCCCTCACAGTGAAGAAGAGGTTAATGAGCAGATGCCTTGGCCCCTGTGAACAGCCTCTTTGTGTCCAGGCCAGTAGGCAGGGTGCCCTTCCAGAAGACCTTACGTTGTGGTCTTTGGAACACAACTGAATTTTATTTGAACAATGATGTTGGGCCGGTGAAATAGAACGAAATTGAAAAAATGGTCTCACTGGGCACGTGAGAGCATTATTCAGAATGAGCTGAAAGGGATCACAGTGCTGACGCCTCTCCTCTTGGCAGGGCTCATCAGAAAGGCAGAGGGCATTCCCTATTTACATGCAAATGTGAAAGGCCTCCATCTTCTTGGGCCAGCTGAATGCAAGCCCAGAGAGGCTGTGTGTGGACTTCAGAGGGAAATATTTCCAGAAACTCCTAACCCACGTAAGGGGGGTGGTAAATGTCCACTGTGAGAAAAAACAAAACAAAGCCCCAAACAACCCTAAAAAACAAATAACATAATTCGTCTCTCATCACTGGAGATGGTGTGGTATCTTCGTAGGGTGGGGCTGGACTGTGATGTATGAATTCACAATCTTGGTACGGATTTAAAGGATACTGCGTGTTCTTTATCATAGTGCCCAGTTTCCAAATCTCATGGCTAAAAACTCGAGTGTGTGGATATATTTCCTGTCTTTGCATTGAAAACTCTAGGAAGATAGAGCCACACCCCTGAAAGAAGACCCAGGTGTCTACAGTCTGGGAGGCTGGGAGGCTGGGCCTCTGATGGAAGCTGCGGCTCAGTGGCATCCCTTCCCAAGGCCCCTCTTACCATGGCTTTATTGGAGTATCCGCCACCCTGGAATTCGAGAATCCCGTAGGAATCTGTCGGGTAGCTCTGGGTGTGTTTGCCAACAGACCATTTTTCGGGCTGAGTCTCCACCTGCTTGTTCTCTCCATTTTTGCTGGCTGTTACACTCGGCAGAGGGGGGATATGCTGGTTGGTGAGCTGGCCACAGCAACACCTGAAAACAAAGGCAAAGCTCAGTCTTTCTATAACATTTTCCTCCTTAAGATGAGTTAACCTGAATAGAAGCAGACTAACACCTTCCTTATCCAGCTTTACTGGAGACAGAAATGCCCCTTATGATGTCCTTTTCCAGATAATCAATGCATATCTATTTCCATACCAGAAAAGTATAAATACCAGACTATTCTAAACACATTGGATGGTTGCCCTTCCCTACTGAACACATTTTTAGTCTTTTTGGTGTCTTGACAACATGACTACGGCCATCGATCACTGAATATTCTGTGACAAAGGACAGTCACGCTCCCCCATGCAGAGTTGACCTGCAATGATTTTTCACTATTATTGAATTATTCTGTTGCTAGAGAAATGTAAAACATTTCTCTACACAAGTAACATTGAAAGTATATTTACTTCAGTTTTAGTCAGAAAGGAGCAGAGGTACAATGCAGGGCCCAAGCATTTAAAGCCTAGTTATTCAGAAGCCGGTTAGGGCCTAAATCCATTCAGTTTTAGGCAGAAACTTGCTGAGGTAGAATCCAGATCCTAAGCATTTTAAAGCCTAGTTATTCAGAAGAGGGGGGCTTCCGGGAAGATGGCGGAAGAGTAAGACGCGGAGATCACCTTCCTCCCCACAGATACACCAGAAATACATCTACACGTGGAACAACTCCTACAGAACTCCTACTGAACGCTGGCAGAAGACCTCAGACCTCCCAAAAGGCAAGAAACCCCTCACGTACCTGGGTAGGGCAAAAGAAAACAAAAAAAACAGAGACAAAAGGATAGGGACGGTACCTGCACCAGTGGGAGGGAGCTGTGAAGGAGGAAGGGTTTCCACACACTAGGAGCCCCTTCGCGGCCGGAGACTGCGGGAGGCGGAGCGGGGCGTGAACACAGCCTGCAGGGTGTTAGTGCGCCACAGCTAGCCGGGAGGGAGTCCGGGGAAAAGTCTGGACCTGCCGAAGAGGCAAGAGACTTTTTCTTCCCTCTTTGTTTCCTGGTGCGCGAGGAGAGGGGATTAAGAGCGCTGCTTAAGGGAGCTCCAGAGACGGGCGCGAGCTGCGGCTAAAAGCGCGGACCCCAGAGACGGGCGGGAGACGCTAAGGCTGCTGCTGCCGCCACCAAGAAGCCTGTGTGTGAGCACAGGTTACTATCCACACCCGCCTTCCGGGTAGCCTGTGCAGCCCGCCACTGCCAGGGTCCGGGGATCCAGGGACAACTCCCCCAGGAGAACGCACGGCTTGCCTCAGGCTGGTGCAACGTCACGCCGGCCTCTGCCGCCGCAGGCCCGCCCCTCACTCCGTGCCCCTCCCTCCCCCCCGGCCTGAGTGCGCCAGAGCCTCCAAATCAGCGGCTCCTTTAATCCCGTCCTGTCTGAGCGAAGAACAGACGCCCTCCGTCGACCTACACGCAGAGGCGGGGCCAAATCCCAAGCTGAGCCCCTGGGAGCTATGAGAACAAAGAAGAGAAAGGGAAATCTCTCCCAGCAGCCTCAGAAGCAGCGGATTAAAGCTCCACAATCAACATGATGTACCCTGCATCTGTGGAATACATGAATAGACAACGAATCATCCCAAATTGAGGAGGTAGACTTTGAAAGCAAGGTTTATGGTTTTTTCCCCTTTTCCTCTTTTTGTGAGTGTGTATGTGTATGCTTCTGTGTGAGATTATGTCTGTATAGCTTTGCTTCCACCATTTGTCCTAGGGTTCTATCCTTCCTTTTTTTAAAAAAAATTTTTTTTTCTTAATAATTATTTTTTTATTATTTTGTTTTTGTTTTTGTTTTTGTTTTTTTTGTGTGGTACGCAGGCCTCTCACTGCTGTGGCCTCTCCCTTTGCGGAGCACAGGCTCCGGACACGCAGGCTCAGAGGCCATGGCCCACGGGCCCAGCCGCTCCGCGGCATGTGGGATCTTCCCGGACTGGGGCACGAACCCGTGTCCCCTGCATCGGCAGGCGGACTCTCAACCACTGTGCCACCAGGGAAGCCCAATTATTTTTTATTTTAATAACTTTATTTTATTTTACTTTATCTTCTTTCTTTCTTTCCTTCCTTCCTTCCTTCCTTCCTTCGTTCCTTCCCTCCCTCCTTTAGACAACGAATCATCCCAAATTGATGAGGTGGACTTTGAGAGCAAGATTTATGATTTTTTCCCCTTTTCCTCTTTTTGTGAGTGTGTATATGTATGATTCTGTGTGAGATTATGTCTGTATAGCTTTGCTTCCACCATTTGTCCTAGGGTTCTATCCGTCCGTTTTTTTTTATAATTATTTTTTTATTTTAATAACTTTATTATATTTTATCTTACTTTATTTTCTTTTACTTTATCTTCTTTCTTTTTTTCCTTCCTTCCCTCTTCCTTCCTTCCTTCCTCCCTCCCTCCTTCCCTCCCTCCTTTCTTTCTACTTCTACTATTTCTTTCTTTCTACTTTTTTTCCCTTTTATTCTGAGCCGTGTGGTTGAAAGGCTCTTGGTGCTGCAGCCAGGAGTCAGTGCTGTGCCTCTGAGGTGGGAGAGCCAACTTCAGGACACTGGTCCACAAGAGACCTCCCAGCTCCACATAGTAACAAGCGGCGAAAATCTCCCAGAGATCTCCATCTCAACACCAGCACCCAGCTTCACTCAACAACCAGCAAGCTACAGTGCTGGACATCCTATGCCAAACAACTAGCAAGACAGGAACACAACCCCACCCATTAGCAGAGAGGCTGCCTAAAATCATAATAAGTTCACAGACACCCCAAAACACACCACCAGACGCAGTCCTGCCCACCAGAAAGAAAAGGTCCAGCCTCATCCACCAGAACACAGGCGCTAGTCCCCTCCACCAGGAAGCCTACACAACCCCCTGAACCAACCTTAGCCACTGAGGGCAGACACCAAAAACAACGGGAACTACGAACCTGCAGCCTGCAAAAAGGAGACCCCAAACACAGTAAGATAAGCAAAATGAGAAGACAGAAAAACACACAGCAGATGAAGGAGCAGGATAAAAACCCACCAGACCTAACAAATGAAGAGGAAATAGGCAGTCTACCTGAAAAAGAGTTCAGAATAATGATAGTAAAGATGATCCAAAATCTTGGAAATAGAATGGACAAAATGCAAGAAGCAGTTAACAAGGACCTAGAAGAAATAAAGATGAAACAGACAATGATGAACAACACAATAAATGAAATGAAAAATACTCTAGATGGGATCAATAGCAGAATAAATGAGGCAGAAGAACGGATAAGTGACCTGGAAGATAAAATAGTGGAAATAACTACTGCAGAGCAGAATAAAGAAAAAAGAATGAAAAGAACTGAGGACAGTCTCAGAGACCTCTGGGACAACATTAAACGCACCAACATTCGAATTATAGGGGTTCCAGAAGAAGAAGAGAAAAAGAAAGGGACTGAGAAAATATTTGAAGAGATTATAGTTGAAAACTTCCCTAATATGGGAAAGGAAATCGTTAATCAAGTCCAGGAAGCACAGAGAGTCCCATACAGGATAAATTCAAGGAGAAATACGCCAAGACACATATTAATCAAACTGTCAAAAACTAAATACAAAGAAAGCATATTAAAAGCAGCAAGGGAAAAACAACAAATAACACACAAGGGAATCCCCATAAGGTTAACAGCTGATCTCTCAGCAGAAACTCTACAAGCCAGAAGGGAGTGGCAGGACATACTGAAAGTGATGAAGGAGAAAAACCTGCGCGACCAAGATGACTCTACCCAGCAAGGATCTCATTCAGATTTGATGGAGAAATTAAAACCTTTACAAACAAGCAAAAGCTGAGAGAGTTCAGCACCACCAAACCAACTTTACAACAACTGCTAAAGGAACTCCTCTAGGCAAGAAACACAAGAGAAGGAAAAGACCTAGAATAACGAACCCAAAACAGTTAAAATGGGAATAGTAACATACATATCGATAATTACCTTAAATGTAAATGGACTAAATGCTCCCACCAAAAGACACAGATTGGCTGAATGGATACAAAAACAAGACCCATATATATGCTGTCTACAAGAGACCCACTTCAGACCTAGAGACACATACAGACTGAAAGTAAGGGGATGGAAAAAGATATTCCATGCAAATGGAAACCAAAAGAAAGCTGGAGTAGCAATTCTCATATCAGACAAAATAGACTTTAAAATAAGGACTATCAGAAGAGACAAAGAAGGACACTACATAATGATTAAGGGATCGATCCAAGAAGAAGATATAACAATTGTAAATATTTATGCACCCAACATAGGAGCACCTCAATACATAAGGCAAAAACTAGCAGCCATAAAAGGGGAAATCGACAGTAACACATTCATAGTAGGGGACTTCAACACCCCACTTTCACCAATGGACAGATCATCCAAAATGAAAATAAATAAGGAAACACAAGCTTTAAATGATACATTAAACAAGATGGACTTAATTGATATTTATAGGACACTCCATCCAAAAACAACAGAATACAGAATACACATTTTTCTCAAGTGCTTATGGAACATTCTCCAGGATAGATCATATCTTGGGTCAAGCCTTGGTAAATTTAAGAAAATTGAAATTGTTTCTAGTATCTTTTCCAACCACAAGGCTATGAGACTAGATATCAATTACAGGAAAAGATCTGTAAAAAATACAAACACATGGAGGCTAAACAATACAATACTTAATGAAGTGATCACTGAAGAAATCAAAGAGGAAATAAAAAAATATCTAGAAACAAATGACAATGGAGACACGACGACCCCAAATATATGGGATGCAGCAAAAGCGTTCTAAGAGGAAAGTTTATAGCAATACAATCCTACCTTAAGAAACAGGAAACATCTCGAATAAACAACCTAACCGTGCACCTAAAGCAATTAGAGAATGAAGAACAAAAAATCCCAAAGTAAGCAGAAGGAATGAAATCAAATCATAAAAATCAGATCAGAAATAAATGAAAAAGAAATGAAGGAAACAATAGCAAAGATCAATAAAACTAAAAGCTGG